AATGGCATACATAACAGTATCGTCTGCATACAGTACATATGAAAATTAAAAGTTTTAACAGATAGACCAATATTATTTATATAAATAGTAAAGACAACCGGTCCCAATACCGATCCCTGCAGTACACCTTTCGTAATATCCTGGAAACTAGACTTAACACCATCAGAAATCACACATTGAGTCCTGTCTGACAGATAATTTTCAAACCACTTGCAAGAAGCCTGATCCAGGCCTATATCAGTCAACCTTTTAATGATTTACCTAAGGACATGAGAAAAAAAATAAAAAAATATAGGTCAGTGGTTCTGCAATAAGTGGAGCAGAGAGCTGCAGTAAGAAGGGATCAAGTGAATCACCCCCTGTGGTTTTTATTAACGTCAATATTTAGCAAAGCACTTAGTACATCATAGACATCAAGTGGTTGAAATGAAAATAAAGTCTGTGAGTCTGTTAGTGCATCGTTCTGTACAATCTGTTCTGAGGTGACTAAAGGACTCCCTCTAGTGGAATGAGATTAATTTTTTGAGATTGTCCTTTCAAACAGGTGGCCAGCTGAGCAAAATGGTTATTAAAAACACCACACATGTCAATTTTGTCTGGTATGGGACCAGAGGCAGTCAAAACCTGCTTGGACAACGAGGGGGTGGAGTTTTGTTTAAAAGATTTGACCATTTTCCAGAAGTTGGCTGGCTTATCACCATAGTCCGATACACAACAAGAAATATGTTGTATTCTTATTTTCTAACCAAAGATATTTCTCAATTGTCTGAAGGAGAAAAAAAAGGCCTTTTCAGATGTAGAATCAGTCAGTCTAGCCTTAGCCCAAGATACATTTACTTCCTGTAATTTCACAGACAATTAATGCTTGAACCAAGGATTGGATCTGCCTTTTACCCTTAGCCTTTTGTACGGTGCATGTTTATCTGCAACATAGTTAAACAGGGAAATAAAACAATGAAGGGCCTGATCTTCACGTTTCTTATGCATGGCAACAGGACAATGGTCACTGAACTTATTAGCAAATATCCCATTGGCTGTAAACTTATGATGGGATATGTGCTTCAGTCAGAAAAACGTTCTCTCGTCTCTTCGGTCTCAGCTAGCTAGCGAGCCAGCCAATAGCTACCAAAAGTGGCTAGCTAGCCAAGCTAGCTACAGAACCAAAACCCATGAAATACACTTGCTGGAAATAAACACATTTTCCTATTATAATGACTTGTATCAACATCCTTAGCTTGCCCATTCACTAAATATACTGTTAAAATAAGTCTGACTGACACCCAGTAGCTTAAGGATGCAGAGATCTAACGCGAGCTTATTAGCATTAGCCAAGCCTTATGCTGAGGGAGACTAACTAGTTAGCTACCACCCAACCCTGCACAAACCAGTGTCTAACTCTGCTGCTGCACTTTGACCTTCATTCACTACTTCCTGCTCCTGCTCGACCTGCTGTCTTTTTTTTTTTTACTCTCTTTTCGGAAGAAGTTCTGAATATCCATGTTTGCTCTGTGCTGCAGACTCAGTGACTTAGTGACAGGCAGGGCATACAATTAACGTTTTGGTCCACCAGACACTGTGGCAGGTAGATAAAAAAATCTACCAGCCAACATATTTTTTTCCGCTATAAAATGACACCAGCAAAACACAAAAAAACTGAGACGCATGCTTTGTAATGTTTCTAAAAACAATACATGTATTACTGTAAGAAGTAATGTGGTATATTGTTTCGTTTCATTTTTTGTGACCTGAGTCTAACCTAAATATCACAGATGAGACAAACATTTTCACCTGCCTTTCAGGGTGGGAGGTTACCGTGGTAACATGTTTGCCCCTTGAGTCTGAGTGGTAGAAGCACAGATAGAACAATGAGACAGATATTTCACCGGATGTGTAAATGTGAAGCATCCGCTTGGTGTTTCCACTCACTACCAAATATGGTAGTGAGAGGAAGCCATGTGTCCGGCAGCGGGAGAAGATGGAACGAGATGGATTTTGGCCCACATTCTGCTAATTTTCTCATCGATAAAACATTTGATCTCAATACAGTTTTCTGTTCCCAAAACTAGAATCTGTTACGAACAGAGTGGACAAAGTTTTGAAGACTTTACCCTTTGCTAAAGTTTAAAAAAAAATTGCATTGTTAAGAAGGAGAGCAAAGGCGAATTGAGTTATTGCACATGCACACCTCACAGAGTAGACGTTCCCCTAACGGAAATATGCAAATGTATGCTACAACGTGCCAATAGGATCTCGCTAGCTTGTGCTTGACTCTGCCCACCTCCTTGCTTGTTCTGCCCACTGTGACTCATTTGTTCCCATTTGAAACGACGGGCTGTGGTCTATCTTGGTTTAGTTATAAAAACTATTTGGTAGCAGCGTAGTCTTCTCTTCCCTAGCAGTTCAAAGTCAAACACAGAACAACAACCTTGTGAACAAGTCTAACTTCACTAGACTTTCGTTTCAGGTAAATTAGACCAACATTTATGCGCAACGCTTCAAAAAAATCTTTCACTTCTTCCCTGCCTTTCACTCAGCTCTTCACGCCCCCAGCCAGGCAGTGTTGCAGCGTGAGGTGGAATAGGGTGTATAGGATTCGTAGTTCTTTGACTTTGTGCGATTAATTTAAAAAAAAATATGTCCGTATTTTTTAATTTTTTATACTGCATAGAGCAAGTGATGTGTGGTTATGCAAAATCATATCAGACTTAAATTAATACAAAATATACGGTGCATTCGGAAAGTATTCTGACCGCTTGACTTTTTCCACATTTTGTTACGTTACAGCCTTATTCTAAAATGGATTCAATTGTTTTTTCCCTCATCAATCTACACACAATACCCCATAATGACAAGGTGAAAACAGGTTTTTAGATTTTTTTGCAAATAAATTTTTTTATATCTACACTACCAGTCAAAAGTTTTAGAACACCTACTCATTCAAGGGTTTTTCTTTATTTTTTTACTATTTTCTACATTGTAGAATAATAGTGAAGACATCAACACTATGAAATAACACTTATGGAATCATGTAGTAACCAAAGAAGTGTTAAACAAATATTTTATATTTGAGATTCTTCAAATAGCCACCCTTTGCCTTGATGACAGCTTTGCACACTCTTGGCATTCTCTCAACCAGCTTCAACAGGAATGCTTTTTCAACAGTCTTGAAAGAGTTTCCACATATGCTGAGGACTTGTTGCCTGCTTTTCCTTCACTCTGCGGTCTGACTCATCCCAAACCATCTCAATTTGGTTGAGGTCGGGGAATTGTGGAGGCCAGGTCATCTGATGCAGCACTCCATCACTCTCCTTCTTGGTAAAATAGCCCTTACACAGCCTGGAGGTGTGTTGGGTCATTGTACTGTTGAAAAACAAATGATAGTCCCACTAAGGCCAAACCAGATGGGATGGCGTATCGCTGCAGAATGCTGTGGTAGCCATACTGGTTAAGTGTGCCTTGAATTCTAAATAAATCACAGACAGTGTCACCAGCAAAGCACCCCCACACCATTACACCTCCTCCTCCATTTATGGTGGGAAATACACATGCAGAGATCATCCGTTCACCCACACCGCGTCTCACAAAGACACGGTGGTTGGAACCAAAAATCTCAAATTTGGACTCCAGACCAAAGGACAAATTTCCACCGGTCTAATGTAAATTGCTTGTGTTTCTTGGCCCAAGCAAGTCTCTTCTTCTTATTGGTGTCCTTTAGTAGTGGTTTCTTTGCAGCAATTCGACCATGAAGGCTTGATTCACACAGTCCCCTCTGAACAGTTGATGTTGACTTGAACTCTGTGAAGCATTTATTTGGGCTGCAATTTCTGAGGCTGGTAACTCTAGTGAACTTATCCTCTGCAGCAGAGGTAACTCTGGGTCTTCCATTCCTGTGGCGGTCCTCATGAGAGCCAGTTTCATCATAGTGCTTGATGGTTTTTGCGACTGCACTTGAAGAAACTTTAAAAGTTCTTGAAATGTTCCGTATTGACTGACCTACATGTCTTAAAGTAATGATGGACTTGGTCTTTTACCAAATCTTCTGTATACCCCCCATACATTGTCACACACAACTGATTGGCTCAAACGCATTAAGAAGGAAAGAAATTCCACAAATTAACTTTTAAGTAGGCACACCTGTTAATTGAAATGCATTCCAGGTGTTCCAGGTGACTACCTCATGAAGCTGGTTGAGAGAATGCCAAGAGTGTGCAAAGCCTTATTCTAAAATTTATTAAATTGTTTTTTCCCCTCATCAATCTACACACAATACCCCATAATGCCAAAGCAAAAACAGGTTTTTAGTAAAAAAAAATACATTTACATAAGTATTCAGACCATTTACTCAGTACTTTGTTGAAGCACCTTTGGCAGCGATTACAGCCTTGAGTCTTCTTGGGTATGACGCTACAAGCTTGGCACACCTGTATTTGGGGAGTTTCTCCCATTCCTCTCTGCAGATCCTCTCAAGCTCTGTCAGGTTGGATGGGGAGCGTCGCTGCACAGCTATTTTCAGGTCTCTCCAGAGATGTTCGATTGGGTTAAAAAATGTCAGTCTTCTGTGATGTATATAAAGTGTAATATTGGGATGCAAACTCAAAATGTAATAAATGTCAACTCTATATTTGACATGGTACAGGTGTCTTCTTTTTTTGTAAGCCCATAACCATGTGTGTGAGGTGTATGCTTTTGTTTGAAAGTAGATTTGTTGAAGACTACCGAGAATCACTCTGTGTGACCCTGATTTAGCCCACTGCAGTAAAAGATTAAAGGCAGTGTTCCCACGTTTGCGGAGACCACATTCACGGTAAACGCTGCATATGACGGCTCAATCGTAAATTACCTTTAAATGGCGCATTGTCCAATTCGCGATCGGATTGAATCCCGGACTAAATTGATATTGGCACTAAAATATACATTAATTTCACTATAGCTTTGTCCTGTACAACATAAGAGTCTGACCTTTGTCTTTGTTGTTCCCAACCAACCAGGCTTTTATAGAAATGGCTTCAGAGGAGGCAGCGATCACCATGGTGAACTACTATACCACAGCAACTCCTCACGTCCGCAACCAGCCTGTCTACATCCAGTACTCCAACCACCGCGAGCTCAAGACAGACAACCTGCCCAATCAGGGGGTGAGTACAGTCCAACCTGACCAATCATAGACTGAATCCACTGCATGTACATTACAACCTCACCAATCAGGGGGGTGAGTACCATATAGCCTGACCAATCAGGGCCTCAGTCCATCATGTATGCTATTGCTCCCACGGTTGACCGGGCTCTATCTGAACTACAGTCTACCTTCATTGTATTACAGATAAACTTAATTGACCTGAAATTAGTATTGAATGCAGGTGAAACTAAGTACACTGAACAGAAGTTCAGCAGCAAAAAAAGAAATATATATATATATATATAATAGAATTATTGTAAAATTAACTCTGTCCATAAGGTGTAGATAGTAAGTATAGACCGGAAGTAGAGGCCTGGGCATTGTTGTTCACTAATTTACTCCAAGTAGGGAAAGGATGGTGGGGTTGAAAAGTAATAAAGGGGAGTATATATATAAAAAAACATGGGGGATTGGAAGTGATGCAGACAATTACATTGATAGAAGATACAATCTATCTGCAATATTAAGCTGATCCATTCCCCTACATTTTTTTTACAAAAATTATACAAGAAAAAAATAAAACATATATATTTTTTTTAAAGGACACTGAACAAAAATATAAACGCAACATGCAACAATGTCAAAGATTTTACTGAGTTACAGTTCATATAAGAAAAATCAGTCAATTGAAATAAATAAATTAGGTCATAATCTATGGATTTCACATGACTGGGAATACAAATATGCATCTGTTGGTCACAGATACCTTTAAAAAAAAGGTAATATCAGAAAACCAGTCAGTATCTGGTGTGACCACCATTTGCCTCATGCAGCGCGACACATCTCCTTCGCATAGAGTTGATCAGGCTGTTGATTGTGGCCTGTTGAATGTTGTCCCACTCCTCTTCAATGGCTGTGCGAAGTTGCTGGATATTGGCGGGAACTGGAACACGCTGTCGTACACGTCAGTCCAGAGGATCCCAAACATGCTCAATGGGTGTCATGTCTGGTGAGTATGCAGGCCATGGAAGAACTGGGACATTTCCAGCTTCCAGGAATTGTGTACAGATTCTTGCGACATGGGGGCGTGTATTATCAGGGTGAAACATGAGGTGATGGCGGCGGATGAATGGCACGACAATGGGCCTCAAGATCTCGTCACGGTATCTCTGTGCATTCAAATTGCCATCGATAAAATGCAATTGTGTTCGTTGTCTGTAGCTTATGCCTGCCCATGCCATAACCCAGGATTCCCCAACTGGCGGCCCATGGGCCAAATTTGGCCCGCCGGTGGTTTTATTTGGCCCCCAAAGTTTTCTGAGCATAAACATTTTTAAATATATTTTTTATTTATTTGTGTTGTTGGACAGTGATTTTAATTTAGGAAATCTGCTCCAATCATTCCCACCCATACATAGTACAGAGGTTTGAAATTATTGTTTTAGTCAAATATTATATCTGTTTGGGCTTCTTGCGGTCGTTCAATTTGCAGTCTACAAATTATTTGCAATTATGTACCGGCCCCCTGACCATCCACTCAAGAAAAAAACTGGCCCGCGGTGGAATCTAGTTGATGATCCCTGCCATAACCCCACCGCCACCATGGGGCACTCTGTTCACAACGTTGACATCAGCAAACCTCTTGCCCACACAACGCCATACACGTGGTCTGCGGTTGTGAGGCCGGTTGGACGTACTGCCAAATTGGTAGAGAAATGAACATTAAATTATCTGGCAACAGCTCTGGTGGACATTCCTGCAGTCAGAATGCCAATTGCACGCTCCCTCAAAACTTGAGACTTCTGTGGCATTGTGTTGTGTGACAAAACTCATTTTAGAGTGGCCTTTTATTGTCCCCAGCACAAGGTGCACCTGCGTAATGATCATGCTGTTTAATCAGTTTCTTGATATGGCCACACCTGTCAGGTGGATGGTTATCTTGGCAAAGGAGAAATGCTCACTAACAGGGATGTAAACCAATTTGTACACAAAATCTGAGAGAAAAGAAAACAAATTGCATATGGAAAATTTCTGGGATCTTTTATTTCATAAAACATGGGACAAACACTTTACATTTTGTGTTTTTATTTTTGTTCAATGTACAATAAAAGCTACCCAATCAGGAGGTGAGTCCACTGCATGTACAGTCCAACCTATAAACTCAAACATATAGACTCAATGGTTACTAAAATGGGAAGAGGTCTGTCCATGATAATGCGTCGCTCTGCCTTCTTGACATCTCAGTCGACCAGACAGGTCCTACAGGCCCTAGTTTTGTTGCACCTGGACTGCTGCCCAGTTGTGTGGTCATGTGCAGCAAAGAAGGATTTAGGAAAATTACGTTGTGTCCAGAACAAAGCAGCACGTATTGCACTTAGATGTACACGGAGGGTGAATGTTAATAACATGCATGTCAATCTGGCTCGAAGTTGAGGAGAGATTGACTGCATCACTATTGGTCTTTGTGCGAGGTATTGATGTGTTGAAGGTACCGAAGTGTCTGTTGAAGCAGTTGGCACACATTTCGGACACTCGTCGGTGCAACACAAGACATGCCACCAGGGGTCTCTTCACAGTCCCCAGGTCCAGAACAGACTCTGGGAAACACACAGTACTAAATAGAGCCATGACTACATGGAACTCTCTTCCACATCAAGTAACTCAAGCTAGCAATGAAGTCAGATAAAAAAATAACTGTTAAAATAACATCTTATGGCACAACAGGGACTGTGAAGAGACACAGAAATTTTTGTATTGTAATTTGCACTTTCTTATGTACAGCTGAAGTCGGCGGTTTACATACACTTAGGTTGGAGTCATTAAAACTCATTTTTCAACCACTCCACACATTTCTTGTTAACAAACTATAGTTTTGGCAAGTCGGTTAGGACATCTACTTTGTGCATGACACAATAAAACATTTCCAACAATTGTTTACAGACAGATTATTTCACTTATAATTCACTGTATCACAATTCCAGTGGGTCAGAAGTTTACATACACTTAGTTGACTGTGCCTTTAAACAGCTTGGAAGATTCCAGAAAATGATGTTATAGCTTTAGAAGCTTCTGACACCACGCAGCCGTCATACCATTCAGGAAGGAAACGCGTTCTGTCTCCTAGAGAGTAACATACTTTTGTGCGAAAAGTGCAAATCAATCCCAGAACAACAGCAAAGGACCTTGTGAAGATGCTGGAGGAAACAGGTATCTATAGTGAGGGAAAAAAGTATTTGATCCCCTTCTGATTTTGTACGTTTGCCCACTGACAAAGACATGATCAGTCTATAATTTTAATGGTAGGTTTATTTGAATAGTGAGAGACAGAATAACAACAAAAAAATCCAGAAAAAGCATGTCAAAAATGTTATAAATTGATTTGCATTTTAATGAGGGAAATAAGTATTTGACCCCTCTGCAAAACATGACTTAGTACTTGGTGGCAAAACCCTTGTTGGCAATCACAGAGGTCAGACATTTCTTGTAGTTGGCCACCAGGTTTGCACACATCTCAGGAGGGATTTTGTCCCACTCCTCTTTGCAGATCTTCTCCAAGTCATTAAGGTTTCGAGGCTAACGTTTGGCAACTCGAACCTTCAGCTCCCTCCACAGATGTTCTATGGGATTAAGGTCTGGAGACTGGCTAGGCCACTCCAGGACCTTAATGTGCTTCTTCTTGAGCCACTCCTTTGTTGCCTTGGCCGTGTGTTTTGGGTCATTGTCATGCTGGAATACCCATCCACGACCCATTTTCAATGCCCTGGCTGAGGGAAAGAGGTTCTTAACCAAGATTTGACGGTACATGGCCCCGTCCATCGTCCCTTTGATGCGGTGAAGTTGTCCTGTCCCCTTAGCAGAAAAACACCCCCAAAGCATAATGTTTCCACCTCCATGTTGCCTTGAGATCATTGACAAGATCCTCCCGTGTAGTTCTGGGCTGATTCCTCACCGTTCTCATGATCATTGCAACTCCACGAGGTGAGATCTTGCATGGAGCCCCAGGCCGAGGGAGATTGACAGTTCTTTTGTGTTTCTTCCATTTGCGAATAATCGCACCAACTGATGTCACCTTCTCACCAAGCTGCTTGGCGATGGTCTTGTAGCCCATTCTAGCCTTGTGTAGGTCTACAATCTTGTCCCTGACATCCTTGGAGAGCTCTTTGGTCTTGGCCATGGTGGAGAGTTTGGAATCTGATTGATTGATTGCTTCTGTGGACAGGTGTCTTTTATACAGGTAACAAACTGGGATTAGGAGCACTCCCTTTAAGAGTGTGCTCCTAATCTCAGCTCGTTACCTGTATAAAAGACACCTGGGAGCCAGAAATCTTTCTGATTGAGAGGGGGTCAAATACTTATTTCCCTCATTAAAATGCAAATCTATTTATAACATTTTTGACATGCATTTTTCTGGATTTTTTTGTTGTTATTCTGTCTCTCACTGTTCAAATAAACCTACCGTTAAAATTATAGACTGATCATTTCTTTGTCAGTGGGCAAACAACAAAAATCAGCAGGGGATCAAATACTTTTTTCCCTCACTGTATATCCGCGAGTCCTATATCGACATAACCTGAAAGGCCGCTCAGCAAGGAAGAAGCCACTGCTCCAAAACCACCATAAAAAAGCCAGACTACGGTTTGCAACTGCACATGGGGACAAAGATCGTACTGTTTGGAGAAATGTCCTCTGGTCTGTTGAAACAAAAATAGAACTGTTTGGCCATAATGAACATTGTTATGTTTGGAGGAAAAAGGGGAAGGCTTGCAAGCCGAAGAATACCATCCCAACTGTGAAGCACGTGGGTGGCAGCATCATGCTGTGGGGGTGCTTTGCTGCAGGAGGGACTGGTGCACTTCACAAAATAGATGGCATCATGAGGAAGAAAATTATGTGGATATATTGAAGCAACATCTCAAGACATCAGTCAGGAAGTTAAATCTTGGTCGCAAATGGGTCTTCCAAATGGACAATGACCCCAAGCATACTTCCAAAGTTGTGGCAAAATGGCTTAAGGACAACAAAATCAAGGTATTGGAGTGGCCATCACAAAGCCTTGACCTCAATCCTATAGAAAATGTGTGGGCAGAACTGAAAAAGCGTGTGCGAGCAAGGAGGCCTACAAACCTGACTCAGTTACACCAGCTCTGTCAGGAGGAATGGGCCAAAATTCACCCAACTTATTGTGCGAAGCTTGTGGAAGGCTACCCGAAACATTTTGACCCAAGTTAAACAATTTAAAGGCAATGCTACCAAATACTAATTGAGTGTATGTAAACTTCTGACCCACTGGGAATGTGATGAAATAAATAAAAGCTGAAATAAATCGTTCTCTCTACTATTATTCTGACATTTCACATTCTTAAAATAAAGTGGTGATCCTAACTGACCTAAGACAGGGAATTTTTACCAGGATTAAATGTCAGGAATTGTGAAAAGAGTTTAAATGTATTTGGCTAAGGTGTATGTAAACTTCCGACTTCAACTGTATGTATGTGTATATATATATATATATATATATACTTACATACACACAAACATACAGTCAAAAGTTTGGACACGCCTCATTCAAGGGTTTTTATTTATTTATTTTTTACTATTTTCTAAACTTCCGACTTCAACTGTACCCCTGAACAGCCACTGTGACTGCGTCCCAAATGGCATCTTATTCCCTAGATAGTGCACTATTTTAGACCAGAGTTCTGGTCAAAACTAGTGCACTGGGGCCTCCCGAGTGGCGCAGCGGTTTAAGGCACTGCATCACAGTGCTTGAGGTGTCACTACAGACCCGGGTTCGATCCCAGGCTGTGTCACATTCAAGTTTTTTAAAACTATTTTCTACATTGTAGAATAATAGTGACGACATCAAAACTATGAAATAACACATATGGAATCATGTAGTAACCAAAAAAGTGTTAAACAAATATTTTATATTTGAGATTCTTCAAATAGCCACCCTTTGCCTTGATGACAGATTTGCACACTCTTGGCATTCTCTCAACCAGCTTCACCTGGAATGCTTTTCCAACAGTCTTGAAGGAGTTCACACATATGCTGAGCACTTGTTGGCTGCTTTTCCTTCACTCTGCGGTCCGACTCATCCCAAACCATCTCAATTGAATTGAGGTCAGGTGATTGTGAAGGCCAAGGTCATCTGATGCAGCACTCCATCACTCTCCTTCTTGGACAAATAGCCTTTACACAGCCTGGAGGTGTGTTGGGTCATTGTCCTGTTGAGCGCAAACCAGATGGGATGCTGTATCGCTGCAGAATGCTGTGGTAGCCATGCTGGTTAAGTGTGCCTTGAATTGTAAATAAATCACAGACAGTGTCACCAGCAAAGCACCCCCACACCATCACACCTCCTCCTACATGCTTCACGGTGGGAACCACACATGCGGAGATCATCCGTTCACCTATTCTGCGTCTCACAAAGACACGGCGGTTGGATCCAAAATCTCACATTTGGACTCAGACCAAAGGACAGATTTCCACCGGTCTAATGTCCATTGCTCGTGTTTCTTGGCCCAAGCAAGTCTGTTCTTCTTATTGGTGTCCTTTAGTAGTGGTTTCTTTGCAGCAATTTGACCATGAAGGCCTGATTCACGCAGTCTCCTCTGAACAGTTGATGTTGAGATGTGTCTGTGACTTGAACTCTGTGAAGCATTTATTTGGGCTGCAATCTGAGGTGCAGTTAACTCTAATGAACTTATCCTCTGCAGCAGAGGTAACTGGGTCTTCCTTTCCTGTGATGGTCCTCATGAGAGCCAGTTTCATCATTGCGCTTGATGGTTTTTGAGACTGCACTTGAAGAAACATTTTCAGGATTGACTGACCTTCATGTCTTAAAGTAATGATGGACTGTCATTTCTCTTTGCTTATTTGAGCTGTTCTTGACATAATATGGACAGGGTCTTTTACCAAATAGGGCTATCTTCTTTATACCAACCGTACCTTGTCGCAACACAACGCATTAAGAAGGAAAGAAATTCCACAAATTAACTTTTAACAAGGCACAACTGTTAATTGAAATGCATTCCAGGTGACTACCTCATGAAGCTGGTTGAGAGAATGCCAAGAGTGTGCAAAGCTGTAATCAAGGCAAAGGGTGGCTACTTTGAAGAATCTCAAATATAAAATATATTTTTATTTGTTTAACACTTCTTTGGTTACTACATGATTCCAAATGTGTTATTTCATAGTTTTGATGTTGTCACTATTATTCTACAATGTAGAAAATAGTAAAAATAAAGAAAAACCCTGGAATGAGAAGGTCAAATCAAATTTGATTTGCCACATGCGCCGAATACAACAGGTGTAGACATTACCGTGAAATGCTTACTTACAAGCCCTTAACCAACAATGCATTTATTCCTTAATTAAAAAGTTTAATAAAACAACAACAAAAAAAGTGTTGAGAAAAAAAGAGCAGAAGTAAAATAAGATAACAGTATGGAGGCTATATATACAGGGTCCAAACTTTTTACCGGTAGTGTATATAAAATAAAGCTAGTGCACTATACAGTATAGTGAATAGGATGCCATTTGGGAGGTGTGTGTGTGAGATATGACCTTTCCAGCACCAGGTCTGTCCAGTCCAGTCTGTTGTCTCTAGCCACTTTAGCGGTTCATGTTACAACACACACAATGGATGACCAGGGAAACCCTCTCGCTCTGCCTCTCGCTCTGTCTGACCACACGGATGCATCCCAAATGGGACCCTATTCCCTATATAGTGCACTACTTTTGACAAGGGCCCATAGTGCTATGGTCAAAAGTAGTGCACTGTACAGGGAATAGGGTGCCATTCGAGATGCAGTCGTGCATGTCTGCTGTCTGGCTCTGCTGCTATCAATGTCCTCACTATCAATGTCCTCTCTATCAATGTCCTCTCTATCAATGTCCTCACTATCAATGTCCTCTCTATCAATGTCCTCTATATCAATGTCCTCACTATCAATGTCCTCTCTATCAATGTCCTCTCTATCAATGTCCTCACTATCAATGTCCTCACTATCAATGTCCTCACTATCAATGTCCTCTCTATCAATGTCCTCTCTATCAATGTCCTCACTATCAATGTCCTCTCTATCAATGTCCTCTCTATCAATGTCCTCTCTATCAATGTCCTCACTATCAATGTCCTCTCTATCAATGTCCTCACTCTCAATGTCCTCTTATCAATGTCCTCTCTATCAATGTCCTCTCTATCAATGTCCTCTCTATCAATGTCCTCTACTATCAATGTCCTCTCAGTCTCATCAATGTCCTCTCATCAATGTCCTCTCTATCAATGTCTCTCTATCAATGTCCTCTATAATGTCCTCTTATCAATGTCCTCTCTATCAATGTCCTCTCTATCAATGTCCTCCATCAATGTCCTCTATATCAATGTCCTCTCTATCAATGTCCTCTCATCAATGTCTCTCTATCAATGTCCTCTCATCAATGTCCTCTCTATCAATGTCCTCTATATCAATGTCCTCTATATCAATGTCCTCTATATCAATGTCCTCTCTATCAATGTCCTCTATATCAATGTCCTCTATATCAATGTCCTCTATATCAATGTCCTCTATATCAATGTCCTCTCTATCAATGTCCTCTATATCAATGTCTGTTATATGTTATTGATTGTTTGTTGTCATGGTAAACCCAATGTGTAAATACTATGTGGTGAGCAGCATTATGACGTTAATAAGTTATATCACTTATGATTATTGTTTGTTTGGGGTATTATTAAACCCAACATCCCCCTCTCCTCTCCTCCCTCCCCCCTCTCCTATGGGGTATTATTAAACCCAACATCCCCCTCTCCTCTCCTCCCTCCCCCCCTAACAGAGAGTTCAGGCAGCGTTGCAGGCGGTCAATGCAGTGACGTTGGGTGGTTCAGCATCTGTTGGTGACGGAACCCTGATGCCAGGACAAAGCCCCGTGCTGCGCATCATCGTAGAAAACCTCTTCTACCCTGTATCACTGGAGGTCCTACACCAGGTAACCCTGACCTATAACCCCTAACCTCTTCTACCCTGTATCACTGGAGGTCCTACACCAGGTAACCCTGACCTATAACCCCTAACCTCTTCTACCCTGTATCACTGGAGGTCCTACACCAGGTAACCCTGACCTATAACCCCTAACCTCTTCTACCCTGTATCACTGGAGGTCCTACACCAGGTAACCCTGACCTATAACCCCTAACCTCTTCTACCCTGTATCACTGGAGGTCCTACACCAGGTAACCCTGACCTATAACCCTAACCTCTTCTACCCTGTATCACTGGAGGTCCTACACCAGGTAACCCTGACCTATAACCCCTAACCTCTTCTACCCTGTATCACTGGAGGTCCTACACCAGGTAACCCTGACCTATAACCCCTAACCTCTAACTAACCCCGGTCCCCTGATTAGATGACTGGTTGACTTATTGACTGATTCATTGATTGATGGATGCTCAAAGTACTTCACATAGTAAAGGGGAAACTCTTTTCATCCCAGTCTTGGAATAATACTCCTCCCTAAAGTATGGCGATGAGTAGCCAGAGAGTTTATATGAACTGGGTTGTGTTTTTTGCCTCCATAGATCTTCTCTAAGTTCGGGACTGTCCTGAAGATCATCACTTTCACCAAGAACAACCAGTTCCAAGCCCTGCTACAATATGCTGACCCTATGAATGCCCACCACGCCAAAGCGGTACGTAGTCAAAAACACCCCTTCATATTGACGACAGAAAGGCATACCTCTGTTTGTACTATCAGGAGCATATGGGGTTGAAATGGCTAGGCTATTTCTTTGGCTCTGGAGGCTACATGGATGTCAGACAACTTGATTTATCCTCTAAACCAGAGGAGGAGCAGCAGTCAGAAGAGGAAGGAGAGAGCATAACAAGTATCTACCGTCTGTCTATTTCTGTCCTGATGTGTTTGGATAGAAGCATTAATAATATCAGATATATTCCCTCTCAGCTCAGTTCAACCCAGATAAGTCTTGGCATCCTGGACCTCTGTGTCAGAGGAAGGCCCCCAAAAATTGTCAAAGCCTCCAGCCACCCAAGCCATAGACTGTTCCCTCTGCTACCGCACGGCAAGCATTACCTGTGCACCAAGAAATGGAACCAACAGGACCCTGAACGGCTTCTACTCCCCACAGCCACAAGCCTATTCCCCCTCAGGAGACTGAAAAGATTTGGCATGGGTCCTCAGATCCTCAAAAAATTCTACAGCTGCACCATCGAGAGCATCCTGAGTGGTTGCATCACCGCCTGGTATGGCAACTACAGAGGGTAGTGCGTACATTTACATTTTAGTCATTTAGCAGACGCTCTTATCCAGAGCGACTTACAGTTAGTGAATACATATCTTTTTATACTGGCCCCCCGTGGGAATCGAACCCACAACCCTGGCGTTGCAAACGCCATGCTCTATCAACTGAGCTACATCCCTGCCGGCCATTCCAAATATATACAGTATACTGCTGCTACTGTCTATTATCTATCCTGTTGCCTAGTCCCTTTACCCCTACCTACAGTATACTGCTGCTACTGTCTATTATCTATCCTGTTGGCTAGTCACTTTACCCCTACCTACAGTATACTGCTGCTACTGTCTATTATCTATCCTGTTGTCTAGTCACTTTACCCCTACCTACAGTATACTGCTGCTACTGTCTATTATCTATCCTGTTGTCTAGTCACTTTACCCCTACCTACAGTATACTGCTGCTACTGTCTATTATCTATCCTGTTGCCTAGTCACTTTACCCCTACCTACAGTATACTGCTGCTACTGTCTATTATCTATCCTGTTGTCTAGTCACTTTACCCCTACCTACAGTATACTGCTGCTACTGTCTATTATCTATCCTGTTGCCTAGTCACTTTACCCCTACCTACAGTATACTGTCTATTATCTATCCTGTTGCCTAGTCACTTTACCCCTACCTACAGTATACTGCTGCTACTGTCTATTATCTATCCTGTTGTCTAGTCACTTTACCCCTACCTACAGTATACTGCTGCTACTGTCTATTATCTATCCTGTTGTCTAGTCACTTTACCCCTACCTACAGTATACTGCTGCTACTGTCTATTATCTATCCTGTTGTCTAGTCACTTTACCCCTACCTACAGTATACTGCTGCTACTGTCTATTATCTATCTGTTGTCCTAGTCACTTTACCCCTACCTACAGTATACTGCTGCTACTGTCTATTATCTATCCTGTTGTCTAGGTCACTTTACCCCTACCTACAGTATACTGCTGCTACTGTCTATTATCTATCCTGTTGTCTAGTCACTTTACCCCTACCTACAGTATACTGCTGCTACTGTCTATTATCTATCCTGTTGTCTAGTCACTTTACCCCTCCTACAGTATACTGCTGCTACTGTCTATTATCTATCCTGTTTGTCTAGTCACTTTACCCCTACCTACAGTATACTGCTGCTACTGTCTATTATCTATCCTGTTGTCTAGTCACTTTAACCCCTACCTACAGTATACTGCTGCTACTGTCTATTATCTATCCTGTTGTCTAGTCACTTTACCCCTACCTACAGTATACTGCTGCTACTGTCTATTATCTATCCTGTTGTCTAGTCACTTTACCCCTACCTACAGTATACTGCTGCTACTGTCTATTATCTATCCTGTTGTCTAGTCACTTTACCCCTACCTACAGTATACTGCTGCTACTGTCTATTATCTATCCTGTTGTCTAGTCACTTTACCCCTACCTACAGTATACTTGTTACGAACCCCGTGGCTTTAAACGTCTAGGGTGGATGGACATGAGACCCGTAACATAATTCATGCAAATTATAAGCGTGACATGGAACAGTGAGAACAAAAACTACACGACAACCATAAACTACCGTCAAACATAAAAGGTTTATTTTTGAACACACGGTAAAGGTTTGGGAAAAAGGGCTGAGCAGGACCCAAGAAATGAAACAATAGTGTAAAAAAATCCTAAACTGATCTTGCCTGCCTCAAGAACCGCTAAGCTACTGCTAATCATACAAAAATACAGTGGGTGGTCCGCTCAGGTCTAACTAGTGTTTTTAGACAGTTTTCTTCCTACGGGTAATGTATGCCCAAGGGCAACTAGCTTAAACTCCCCTTTTCCCAGAAACACACAGAGTTACCAAACAGAGTAACCAGCAAATGAGTGAGTACACAAAACACAGGACACCACAGTATCCATACTCACATACGGAAATAGTCTCTCACAACAAACACAACTGACCGGCTTTTAAACAATGGGATGTGTGATTGAAAAACCAGAAACAGGTGGTGCAATGCAGAGGAATGTTCACTGATTGGTCCACCTTAGCAATCAGCAGACACCCCAACGACCACCAATCAGGAACATAAAGGACACCTGTGATTAGGGCAGAAGGAGAGGAAAAACACAAAAAGACACAGGATACCTGTATCCATAACAATACTGCTGCTACTGTCTATTATCTATCCTGTTGTCTAGTCACTTTACCCCTACCTACAGTATACTGCTGCTACTGTCTATTATCTATCCTGTTGTCTAGTCACTTTACCCCTACCTACAGTATACTGCTGCTACTGTCTATTATATATCCTGTTGTCTAGTCACTTTACCCCTACCTACAGTATACTGCTGCTACTGTCTATTATCTATCCTGTTGTCTAGTCACTTTACCCCTACCTACAGTATACTGCTGCTACTGTCTATTATCTATCCTGTTGTCTAGTCACATTACCCCTACCTACAGTATACTGCTTCTACTGTCTATTATCTATCCTGTTGTCTAGTCACTTTACCCCTACCTACAGTATACTGCTGCTACTGTCTATTATCTATCCTGTTGTCTAGTCACTTTACCCCTACCTACAGTATACTGCTGCTACTGTCTATTATCTATCCTGTTGTCTAGTCACTTTACCCCTACCTACAGTATACTGCTGCTACTGTCTATTATCTATCCTGTTGCCTAGTCACTTTACCCCTACCTACAGTATACTGCTGCTACTGTCTATTATCTATCCTGTTGCCTAGTCACTTTACCCCTACCTACAGTATACTGCTGCTACAAATTTTATTTATTTATTGTAAAGTGGTTAACCCACTGGCTATAGGGTGAATGCACCAATTTGTAGGTCGCTCTGGATAAGAGCGTCTGCTAAATGACTTAAATGTAATGTAAATGTAATCCTGTTGTCTAGTCACTTTACCCCTCCCTACAGTATACTGCTGCTACTGTCTATTATCTATCCTGTTGTCTAGTCACTTTACCCCTACCTACAGTATACTGCTGCTACTGTCTATTATCTATCCTGTTGTCTAGTCACTTTACCCCTAGCTATATGTACATAGCTACCTCAATAACCTGTACATCGACTCGGTACTGGTACACCCTGTATATAGTGCATTCGGAAATTATTCAGACCCCTTGACTTTTTCCACATTTTGTTACGTTACAGCCTTATTCTAAAATAGATTAAATAGTTTTTTCCCCTCATCAATCTACACACAATACCCCATAATGCCAAAGCAAAAACAGGTTTTTAGACATTTTTGCAAGTAAAAGAAAAACAAAAAAACGGAAATACACATATACATAAGTATTCAGACCATTTACTCAGTGCTTTGTTGAAGCACCATTGGCAGCGATTACAGCCTCAAGTCTTCTTGGGTAAGACGCTACAAGCTTGGCACACCTGTATTTGGGGAGTTTCTCCCATTTTTCTCTGCAGATCCTCTCAAGCTCTGTCAGGTTGGATGGGGAGCGTTGCTGCACAGCTATTTTCAGGTCTCTCCAGAGATGTTCGATCGGGTTCAAGTCGGGGCGCTGGCTGGGCCACTCAAGGACATTCAGAGACTTGTCCCGAAGCCACTCCTGCGTTGTCTTGGCTGTGTGCTTAGGGTCGTTGTCCTGTTGGAAGGTGAACCTTCGCCCCAGTCTGAGGTCGTGAGCGCTCTGGAGCAGGTTTTCATCAAGGATCTCCTCTGTACTTTGCTCCGTTCATCTTTCCCTCGATGCTGACTAGCGGTCTGTTTCTGCATAGATCTTTGTTTATTCACTGGACAAACATACAGGCTAAACATGCTGTCCACCTCTGGGAGGTTGGACGGTTAACATGCTGTCTACCTCCGGGAGGTTGGACGGTTAACACGCTGTCTCCTCTTGGGAAGGTTGGACGGTTAACATGCTGGTCTAACCTCTGATAGGGTTTGGACGGTTTAACATGCTGTCTACCTCTGAATCTTGGAGGAGGAGAGGTTGGACGGTTAACATGCTTGTCTTACCTCTGAGAGGTTGGAACGGTTTAACATGGCTGTCTACCTCTGAGAGGTTGGACAGTTAACAATGCTGTCTACCTCTGGGAGGGTTGGACGGTTAGACATGCTAGTCTAACCTCTGGGAGGTTGGACGGTTAACATGCTGTCTTCCCCCGGGAGGTTGGAACGGTGAACCATGCTGGTCTACCTCCGGAGGTTTGGACGGTTAACCATGCTGTCTAACCTCCGGAGCGGTTGGACGGTTTAACATGGCTGTCCTACCTCCGTGAGGTGTGGACGGTTAACATGCTGTCTACCCTCTGGGAGGGTCTGGACGGTTAACATGCTTCTATCTACCTCTGAGAGGTTGGACGGTTAACATGCTGTCTACCTCTGAGAGGTTGGGCGGTTAACATGCTGTCTACCTCTGAGAGGTTGGACGGTTAACATGCTGTCTACCTCTGGGAGGTTGGACGGTTAACATGCTGTCTACCTCCGGGAGGTTGGACGGTTAACATGCTGTCTACCTCCTGGGAGGTTGGACGGTTAACATGCTGTCTACCTCTGGGAGGTTGGACGGTGTGTTTTACTGCCTGTAGGGTTGCAAAATTCCAGTATTTTCCCAAAAA